GCACGCATAGGACCCAGAGACATAACGGGGAGGACTTTGAAGTATGTGTCACGACCCTTGCACGCGAATCAAGAACACAGGCGCGAAAAACTCTCGAGGCACTCTGGATTAATTCCAGAAATCCGAAAATGAACCGCAGGGAAGAATGCCTCATTATCACGCGTGATGTAGGGCAGTATATAAGACTGCTATTCTGATGAGTGGGGTACATTATACTTCCATGTGATTTCTGTGCGGTTGGTCTCTACGTGACATACTTAGTGGAGACCTCATAGAAAGCGGTGAGTGTGCAAAGCTGTGTTCAATGTGATTGAAATCTTGGTTTAGAGTTTCTTTGTTTGGTTATGGAGGCGTCTGGCCAAGTAGATTGCTGTCAACTTGACCTTTCCAGGCTCTGAGGAAGGCGAAATCCGCCGAAACGTCAGCTCATTTGTGAATAAAGAATAATAACACCTCGCGTTTGCTCAACAAAAATACGAAGAATTACTTGATCAATGCCGAGGTTAATAGAAAGTCGGTCGTGTGAGTCACGATAGCTTGACAACGTAGTATTACATTGCATCTATCCTTTCAGATAATTTTATACAAATTTTTCAACAGATGAGCAGTAGGAAGCTTGATTAACCCAGGAGGGGACATCGAGTCAATAGCCATACATTGCAAGGCACCTCTAACAACTGCACTACACGCGCCCTTAGGAAGATACTTAGGATTTCGTAACCAAGTAGAAAATAACAAACACAGTCTGGACATTTTTACCCCACGTCTTTTCTTGCCAGCATAACTCTCGAACTTATCGCAAACTAAACAGAATAAAAAAGCGATTAGCGTTATTATGCGCATTATCGGGACCACGTTTCAAGGATTCTAGAGAGTGCCCCCTAGCACACTAGTGAAAGAGGAGATCCAAAGCTTCGGACTATACCAATGGTCGAGGTTCATTGATGATGATGTATCCTACGAAATCTTGAAGAATAAGTATTTAACTAAGTAAACGATGCGTATTGGTCATCAATGCTGAATCAGAGCCATTAATCATCATGTTCCACCAAATGTCAAGCGCCCATCAGGAAGTTGCAATAGTCGGTATTTTTCCCAAGAGTCGCAATTGAAAAATATAATATTCGTCTGTTTTGCAAGCACAGAACTCAGTGAACATTTCTGACATGCAAGTATAGGAAAACTTTGCTGATTCCCTTTGGTGGTATTCCATTAGTAACAAGAGGCCAACCGTACACAATGTTTGATGAATTTACATAGCTATTGAATGCTAGTGCATACAGCGATGAATAACCTCATGGCGATGTTCTGGAGCGTTCTTCCTTCATTTTAAAACAGTTAGAAGAAATAATAGATATTTCAAGGTTGAGTTATACATAGATGGTTTTGGGTGTCGGACCGCGATGTACAGCGGGGGGTTTGTCTCTCCGACACAGTCTCTCAAGCTGAGAAGTAGTCTGGCGATTCCATCGGAAGAGCAAACCAATACCAGTATCCACTACCATCCTGGTATCGAACTAGTCGCATGGTGGCAAATCTCCCTCTGATCCACACAAGGGCTACAAATGCTTGTGGTGGTGACGGCCTGAGGCAAACCTTGGCCTGGCCGACCTCGGGACTCCAGGGAGCCACAGTGGCTAAACCAACAAAACTCCGATAAAATGGAGATTATGCTGTGGTACGCACAACCAGTGAGGACGGACCATCTAAGTACCCAAATATATATATATATATATATACTCATATATTGCTACCGATACATAATTTATTTTGTGAGCACAGAGGACGGTACCTAATTTTATGAAGTTATGGATTTCGTGTTTTTTCCACAACAGACGATAATTTTTCGATAATTGGAGGACTTCAGAGATTGAAAACATGAAGTTATAGGAGGAACTTTGCTGTATCATCATCACAGGAGCATGGTATGCATGCCACTATTTCTTGTTGCTATGGTCCATCCTAGAAACATATTGATCTCAGATTTTGGACGTTTTTCGCAATTGACTTTGAGTCTCCATCTGTAGTTTTTCTGCCGGCCCATTCTATGAGATACAAAAACGGTCGCGTATTTCTAATGCGCCGCTAATATGTGCGGAAAATGCTTTTGTGAAATCTTACTCTTACACCACATGCTTAAAACTGTACTGAATCCAGGTGCGACAAGGTTGCATAGTACCCAATCACTGTGCCATGGATGGAGTGTGTCCACAAGAGAGTTTTTGCCAGAGGGAATGGAACCAACATTCATGCCGATGTCACAAGGGTACGGTTCTCAGGTCACATGTAAAGGACAACTCGATTAACAATTAGTTCTTGCCCATATACTTGTGGCTTTTCATTGCGATTCTACAATATAACTGCTTATCATTGGCTCTCAGGGTTTGCGGGTGACACTTGTTTGCCAGTTTGCTCCCTTTCCGGCATATGTGGACCAGGTGGATTTTGTTTGACAACGAACACCTCAAGAGGTTATGACTGTCAATGTCAGAGTGGTAAGCCTATCAAGACTTCATGTTTTTGATGCTTAAATATTCTTATGATTTGAATGTTGTATATATCTTTAAGCATATTATAGGTAGAAATGCATGCTTAGCTATTACATAAGTAGGAAGAAAAGAAAGCTGTTTTAATTTTTCTTTAAATCAAAGTCAAAAAACGGCGAGAACGATAAATCCGACAAAAGAACCATAGATTTCAAAAGGAGGAATCCCAACATCAGAAGGCAATATCACATATCGGTTTATTGCTTTCCAAGGTTCTTGGAAGGAAAGAGTAAACAGTGAATTCCTTTACATATGTTCTTAAAAAATTGACCTTTTAGGAAAGTAAGGGGTATTTCCCACTGGTTTCAATTGAAATGTAGCAAATGTCTTCTTGTGGGAATAGACTTTTCCACCATTGTTTTTCCCGTTTAGGTTTTGTCGGCATAAATTGCGAGCGATCCGCCGCTTTGCAGACGTGTCCTCCAGGTTTCTGGGGAAAATTCCCGTACTGCAAACTGTGCTCATGCCCTGAAGGATTTGAGACGCAATGCAACAAGGAAAATGGAGAATGCCGTTGCCCGGTAAGTTCTTATCTTCTAGAAATTCCAATACTCCCTTGGTTGAATTGGTGAGATATACTGTTTTTCATCGCTTGGTATTTGGAAAAGAGGTGTTTTCTTGTCGATACGTTGCTGCAAAAATAAATATGATTTGAAAGTGCAAAGTCTGGTTATCCGGTATATCTTGTTGGTTGCGAAAGCTAGTTTTACTAGTTCTATAATGAGAACAGAATAAGATTTTATCGCCTATGCAAGACGTGCGAAAGAAATTCATTCCCTTATAGACAACGGTTGTTTACCCAGAAATATGCTTTTTTATTAGTTATTAGTTTATTTATACTCATTTAATGACGTCATTGCGTTTATAGTTGTAAGCAAAGTCGTTTCTATAAAAATATCTTCTAGAAATTCCAATACTCCCTTGGTGGTCGATGTGTAAGTTGTGAGTGCGGATATGGCGCATCTACTCTCCAGTGTTCTACAGATGGTCAGTGCCAGTGTGGCGGAGAAGCCAGTGGTCGAAGGTGTGATCGCTGTATACTCGACAATCATGTACGTTTGTTACTGTGTCCTTTAGCTTGAAATGAAAGTGCTTTTTTCGCGAAGTTTCCAAAATAAAGGGGAAATGTTATTTAAAGCGCGCTTGTTTCCCAGATCCTGTTGAAGTTCTGCTAATTATTCCTTCCGTCACAGCTACTGAATCAAAGCTTTGCGTTCAAACTTGCAGCTCTTAGTAATTTGGTCGTGAGGCATAAAGTCCACTTTCAAGCTAAATAAGTAATAATAACGTAGTATTTGCAAGCATTTTTCTCCTAGGTTCTTGATGCAAAGACGTTGAAGTGTTTACCAGTTCGAGGACACTGCCCATCACAAATCCAGTTCGGCGTTCAATGGCCAACAACACCAAAAGGTGAGTATGTTAAAATTAAAGTTTTCAATTTTTCTTGACTTTTAACATCGTTTTTTTTCTCTTGATACCCTCTTTATTTGAGGCACCACTGCTCGTCAGTCCTGTCCTAATGCTCAAACCGGATTAGCAACCAGATCATGTAGTGAGGATGGACGATGGCTCGAAGTGAATTCCTTCAACTGCACACGACCCGAATACGGCTTGATGGTTTCGAAGGTGAGTTGAACTATAGCGCTTGCCAGTGGAATATAGCTCTTCGGGTGAGCTGCGAAAACCGCACAACGATGGATCGAAATTGAATGCTCGACTTCGTACGAATTTGTCACGCGTGACTTTTCGACGTTGCCACAAAGCAACATCACAAGCATCGATAATTAAGCCTTTATCTACAATAATAGCGTAACTACAGCAATAGTGGCATGACAGTTTCGAGTAAAATCGCCACAACATGCAGATGGAGTAGTATGATGAATAAGGATAGTTGGCGTGTGACTTTGTAACAAAAGGGATAAACTGTTGGCTGCAAATATTATGTATGCCATAAATTTATCTAATGAACAAGTGAAGTAGGGACCAATCGGTATTTCTTTTTATGGATATATTATTTTGCTTTATTCTTACTGACGCACGATAAAAATAGCATCACCTGTATTATTAAATGTTTAAGAAAATAATTACTTAAGGCGAAAACTGAGATCATTTTTGAATTATTAATCTGAAGCAAATCACGACGAAATCGCCATTTGGATCAAGCAAGAGCAACAACCTGCTTATCTGTATGGCTTCTTCACATTTTCTTTGTGCTCAAACAGTTTTATTCATCTTGTTGCTTTGCAGCTGCGAATCAAAGAAGTAGTCGGAATGGTCTGTGGCTATGACTTGGAGATCTAAATGTTGATTACAGTTGAGATAGCAGCTGCTTAGATATGCAAGTAACCCATCTAGCCAATTTTGGAGGTCTCTCTCCCTCAATGTCGTTTTGAGTGTCAGAGTCCATTTTCCAGTCCTTCTTGTCCAATTTAGAGTTCTCTCCTCATTATGCAAGCAGCCTGTCGTTTTTCCAGATGCATTCCAATGGATTTGAAAAGAGAAAGAAGGAGAAAGAAGGAGAAGAAAGAGAGAAGAAAGAGAGAAAGAAACTACGATGACCAGGTTGTCAATAATTTCGCCGATCTCACTTGAAGACCGTTTCGATGTGGCCGAAGTAACAGTCTATGTTTCAACCGCATAGCAAAGAAAATGAAGAACTGTGGGTCAAATAAGTTGGCTCGTGATTAGCAAGTTCGTCTATAACCTCGTATGAAATCAGTCCAAGGTGCTTATCTTCTGCTGAACTCTTCTGTCGTGTCGTTTCGCATCGGGCATCCTATAAATTCGGTTTCTTTGCGATCGATTTGTAGGTCTTTACTTTTCTTTATTTAATTAGGCTAGGATAGCATTGTTTTCTGCTTCTGTGAATCCGTGAAAATATGGCAATGTCGCCGGCTACTGATCGCAATAAGAAAGACTTTTTTATTTTCGACGTATTTACACCTTAGTCAACTAGAGTGGCAAAATAGCGATAGTCTACAGCTTTTTAGAAACAGTTTTTTACCAGTTCCAGTTTCTTTCCTTTTTTAACCCTCTCTTTCAGTTTTTTTAAAATCATTCCCGTTCATGTTTGATTCCTGCTGACACCGATAGGGTAAAAAATTGCCTAAGAAAAAGGCAAAACAAGGACATCGGTTGGTACAGTGGATAGAACGTTGGTCCTCGGAAAGGGTGATCGCCGATTGGAATCGCACCTGAGGTTCCGAGTTTTGCTCATAACTCGCATCGTTGTGGTTCTATATCACATCGTACCCTACCGTGGAGAAACATTAGGCAGTATATAAAAGTTTGAACACGCTTAGTAAGTTAATCGGTCAGTAGTTGTAAGAGTCATCTCAGTTGTCTTCTGCAAAAAGATATGGTCCGCGAAATGCTCGACGGTTTGGTTATTCGTTCCCTTCAAAGACGTCGACGTCATCGTTATACAAGAACAGCGCGCAAATGATGATCACAAGCTGGTGGAAAACGAAATATCGGCTTGTCTGCGATACTTGTTGTGTTTGCTGTAATTGTAATCCGTATTTGCTAAATCTACCTGGGACGCGTGTATGCAGTGGTCAAAGGTGCCCTACAACATACATGTGATCGATCCTCGCGCCCCAAGTTCACCGAGCCCTCCATGCGTCCATGGTCGACAAATTGATGCCAGACCTGTCTGGTAGAGTAGCAGCACTGACTGAACACATCGGTAGTCCACTTCGAGTCACTGCATAGGCCAGATATGCATTTATTCACCTCTACCGATGATTAATGAAGTCGAATGCATGGCACACCCTTCAGTTTTATATGCGAAAGCTATTGCGCGTTTGTTGTTCCAGTGAAGGTGAGAGTAAGGAATGACGCAGATGTCACGGATCGAAGGAAGTCACTATCATATTTCCGTCATCCTTTCGATATTGCAAGGAGAAATTTTGGCTTTCCTGTTTTCATTGAACAAAGCAAGGATTGGAATGCTACACACGCAACGATCTCAACAGTGCTTTACTACCCTTTTAGTGGTTTCCAGAATTCTTTGTTGATGGAATCATTTACACCCATCTATACTTTTTTTAATAGTGTTGTTCCGATAAATAAGCGTTTTGATCACGAAGAAAATAAGGAGTGGTTGTGTCGTACAGCTTTATCGCTCAGTTTTCGGACATGTCGCTTAAGGTATTCACTGGCTTTGCAGAGTTCAGGTTTTTACGAATGCAATCGCGTTCACCACCTGAAGTAAGACTTGTCGACAATCCTAAAAATAGTAATCCGGAGTACAATGGTATGCAAAGCAACACGCATCACAACTAAAAGGATGCGTTAGCTAAACAGTACAGTCCCAAGGACCTAAACTTGAGCCGAAATCGGTCCCACAAGTACTACTTGTCCTTAAAGAACGATAGTGTCATAGGAATCCTAAAAATAGTTTCACATGTAACTGGAATTTTAGTATGACATACTAACCTCGGCGGAGCTGTTGACGATGCTACAGAATGCCACCCGTGGTAGGCAACCGATTGACGGTCGCAATCTACATATAGCCCGGACTGCTCTTCATCGGATTCTCGACTCTGAACTGCGGTTGGAGATTTTTCTAAATTCTCCTTGACTTAATATGGCTTTGTAATATTTGCATTATATTCTTCGGATTTTGTAGTCTTCTCAAGTGATTTCCTCAAGTGATTCATTCAGATTAGACCACGTCGCACATAATCACGTGAAAGATATGTGGTTCACTGAAACTCTTGTAATGGCAACTGGCAAGATCGCTGCTCACGAATCTCCAGAAGGTTACATAGAACTAATTAGGAAACTGTGGAAATATGCTAGACTATTGTATGATACGCACGTGCAAATGCCCTACCTTCAACCGTTCCAGATTTCTTCCGAGTATATCGGTATGTTGTTATACTTGAGATAAGCGAAATTCCTAGAGTTTCGCATAACTCAGAGTAGAGAATGGGAAATATATTGAACATTCAGTGTTTTCTATGGATGTGCTCGATTTCTCAAACACACTTCCAAAATACAATAATTTTATTGATCGTCGTCCTAAAGGCTTCCCCTCGGTTTCGATTCACGTGGAAAACGCCACCCAGGTGAGTTATGTGGATCCATGAGTATAACCGCAGAATTTTCCACTACCTCATTTTGTACGCGAAAAGATAGTACATCATGAAATACAAAACAAGTTTTATTTCGTCTTCTCCGAGCGCAGAAGAAATCACTAAGGTAGTTTGAAACTGTGGTGATGTGGAGGTCCACGAAATGATTCATGTGGCTGCTTCCATTATCGACTAAACGAAGCTAACCAGACTTAGAGAAAAATATAAATGGTTGGCAAATTTATAGTATTTTGTCACATTTTCATATTTCGGTGGAAATTTGCTTTCATTTGTTTTCATTTGAATTTCATCCATAAGAGCTGACGTTTTGGCGGGTCATCAAGGAAACAGTGGGTTAATAATCAATGCCGAGGTTAAAAGAAAGTCGGTGTTGGGAATAAGTATAGGATTTTTGCCCTTATGTGGCATTATTACAGCATTTGCTTTTTTAGGTCTTTTACAGTATTATCCCTAATCCTCGCTGCACCAACTGCGAAACACCACTAGTTATTGTTTTCGCGAAGACAATTGAGTCTATCCGGGTCGAATTTGAACTGAAGAGCACAGTCGGATGGCGCCATCCGGAATGCGTACACCTTCACGTATGTTTCCAGCTTTACTAAAGAATTTACGACCTACTTTTTCCTCGGTTTGCGTTTCTGCACTATCGAAATGAAATACTACTCTCAGCAGAGCTAAAATACGGTGTGTATCTGCTTTTCAAAAAGCAGTTTTTTTTCAAAGACGTACCTGTCTTCAACTGAAGAATCCAAGTAAATTTCTCTTAATTATGTTCTCATTATCATTACAGGACTTGTGTCTCCTTAAAATTCATCGGAATACAATTCCAGGACACGCATTCTTCGTGGTCCACTCGTTACGCCAAACTGGTTGCTTTGAATATCTCCCACACCATGTGTGAATTTTCTACTGGAGGAGTCTACACTGTTTTTGCGACAGCAGATTCGACGTCCTACGTGAGTATAGACAAGCCATCTTGTTTTATTCGGCTCGCATGATGCCGTGTTTGTAAAGAATTCAACAATTTCACTGCATGTACTGTACGAAACTGTAAACTGAATACCACATGAATAGCTATTAATCTGTGAATCGACTGATTGAAGAGAGTACCAGAAATGTTCCTCTCCATTCCTGTTTGGTGGCAGTGTTCCTAAGTACTCGGCAGCTTCTTCATCGCGCCTGTGAACGACAAGAAAATCGCCGCCCTTTTCATCTCTTTATCTTTATTTTACTTGCCTTTACATTCTTTATCGCTTTGTTTTTACGACTGCTGACGTTGCCCATATTGATCAGTGGGATTTTTTCTACACTAAAGAACAGGTTCGTTCCTTTTGCAGGCCATTTTTGTTCTGGGGTCCCCTTCTTTCGAAGAATACATTTTTCGCTCATGAATTATGACTAGCTTTTTGGTGGTCTTCAGTTCTGCGTTTGACGTCCTATAGAACGCATTCGCTACAAGCTAACTGGCGGTGGTCATCAAAGTGTATCAGCTGTCTCGTATTGGCAGCATTGTCTTTGTATTTTTCATCGTTAGCGTAGATTAGATCTCTGGCTTCTGCCTACCTCTTTTATACATAAAAGGTATACGTAATAGAAAGAATAATTGTCCAGTTGAAGAGATTGTCGCAGAGCCAAACATTCTTTGTAACCTTTATCACATCCTTGATTCTCTTTTAAGCTCAGCGAGCTCCACGTTGTTTAAGAGCTACGTTTTTCATAATGTCCACTTTTCTTGTTAGGGATATAATGCAGAGTTGTTGCATTTGGAAGTATTCGTTACGCTATGTGTAGAAAAAGGCATGCAGAACATTTCCGTTTCTCATGAATATCGGCATTGTCAGGTTCAAGCGACAACAGGTCCTTGCATACACACCGTTCAAATCAGCCAGAACTTGTTCCGTATGGAGAATAACTACTGTCGTGAGAATATTCTCATTAGCGAAATGGAGACGATGTAGTTATCTATCATTCCAGTCTTCATCCGACACCCGCTTGCTAAACGATATGACATTGCTTGTCTAAATGTGCTCTTTACGCAGATGAATGCGTAAATAGTGAAAATCGCGGTCAAGAAGTTGCTGTACATCAAAACAGTTCTTAAAGGCGTGGTTTCTGTTTCGTGTGGAACCTTAACACCACAACTACATGGTTTTTGGTGAAGTTTCAATTGACGATAGTGTCGTCTGTTTTATTATGGTCCTTTCCATCCAATGCCGGTCATCAAAAGTGGGGTTTTTAAATTCCCACTTATCGTTGATGTTCTTTGTCGTCACGACGAGCTCAAGTAACCTCTTATCTTATTCGCTCCATACCATCGTTTTTCACCCTTTCGTAACCGTTGTAATTCAGTTTTTCAGTGGTGGTAACGTTATTTTTATCACTTAATTTGATCTGACATTAGGAGCCATAAACGTCGTTCCCACATCTTCGAGGTAATGCTAGTCTTTGCGGAAAACAGGAAAACAGTCTGTTACTGTGCAATGAAGCTTAAAACTTTATCGAGAACTGTCGGTAAGATTATATACTCTTGAAAATGAAATACGTGTTGTTGTAAATTAAATATCTAGCAGTACTTGTACAGTGAGTACACAAGGGATTTGTGGACTTATCAAAGAAGAAAACTGCCAGAAATTACGGCTTCAGTGCTGACGATATTGCCGAAAGCTTTAAGGTTAGCGGCATGCTGTTGTGAGAATAGCCAGCTTATCTAGGTGATCGTCAATTGATTCGGATGACTCAATTGACTCTGAAGAAGACGAAGACTCCGAAACGTTCGTCTAATAAAGTATTTTAACAACCTCGTGTTAGCTTACCACTGAAAGAACACATGCTGAAAGCAATGTTTAGAACAGAAATATGGAAAACTTAAAACCAACAATGTACCACGGCACTATAATCATTACCTTCGCGGATAATTTCACCTAACGTTTCGACAACGGAGGAGGCAGAAATTTGGGGAGTTTCGACACGTCTACACTTTTCGGCCACCCTGTACTTTCATGCATAAAAGCGTTCCACCCCTGTCCTGTCGTTAGCGTTTTCAACAATCCAACATCCGAATTTATTGTTGGCGAATGTGCCAACTTCCTCAATTTTTCCGCGTTTCGAGAAAGAGTTCTATTTCAATGCCCAAGCGGTATTCAGTGAATATTATCTTCTTGTCTAGTCATTCTGATTGCCCCGCTTCTGATCTTAAGTTTCCTCTTCGGGCCTACAGCAGAAGCTTTCTGTGTTAAGGGTGGCTTGTTTCACTACACATCGTCGCCGTAGTCATTTCTGCTCTTCGATAGCCTAAAAGGATTTCTAAATTTTATTATTGGTCGTTCCTAAATATTCTTCCTACATATCGATGTCATTATCTATGATTTCCTGGCTTACACATGGAGTTTATTTATGAGAAGTGACAGCGCCGCATACACGTTATGTTTCATTTTGAAAATACTTTATAAAATTTGAAAATAAATGTAAATTAATAAAGTTTATTTCGCAATATATTCGTTATATATATGTATGTTACAAATAAGCTGCATACATTGCAAACTTCCGTTTTTCGTTTAGATACAGCTGTCGCACTCCAACATTATCGTCGCTCCCATACTCGCGGCACTCGCGCTGATGCTGTGTGTGATTTCTATAGTACTCGCGTTAACCAGAAAAGCTGCAGGCGCACGTCGCATCCGGCTTGGATTCATCATCACTTTCATGCTGAACGTCATTAATCTCTACTTTCTCAACAAAGTTCAACTAAATGAGGTATAGCAGTTTCCAACTAGTACGTCAAATTTTTCGCAGCTTATGCTACTTGAGCGAACTAAAGCAATGCTGAAACACTAAAATAGTGCAATCTTACTGACTAACATTTTAGACGGAGTACTCTCTCTTCATTCTCCATAAGGCCGTTGTTTTATCAATATCTTCCAGAATGCAGCAGTAATTAAACACTAACTGACACAAATATGTTAATTTTGCTTTTTAACCAAATTCATGGAGAGGTAGCGGAATGCTAAACGATACAGTCCATCAGGAAGCAAGGTTCCGGTTCGACCTCTACCCAACATTTTCCCCAATCCACGTGGGAACGCCTCGGTTGGGCTAGCTCTAAGATTTTGAGAAGAATCGACAAGCATTCTACGACATTCATAGAGATGATGAAATTTTCAAGTAGCAAGCTAAACAACACGTGGACGATGTTCGCGAGAAAAACAAATCGAATCCACGAAGTGCTGAGATCAACATAGAAAATATGATGATGGCTCATCTAAAACATATATCAATTACTGATAATAATAGTTTCATAAAAACACTGATAATTGCCTGTCACTACTGAGCATGTTGGTCAATGCATGTGAAACAGTCATTATTAATCGCCTGTACAAGTGCCCAAATTTAAGCCCTATAATACCCAAGACCGACTTTCTGTTAACCTCGGCATTGATTGATAATTCGATATTTTCCTTCAATAAGCAGACACGAGGTTGTTATTATAGAATTTATTAGGATACAATAACTGACGTTTCGGCGGTTTCGCCTTCTTTAGAGCCTGGAACTTTTAAAGCGGTCGACGTGAGAGAATATGCATTCCCAACGAATTTTCAGAAAACAGAAGGTCTGAGGTTCAGATGTTTACGAGGAAGACGCTCTGCCACTGAGCTTTAGAGGCCTCACTGGCAAGTTCACCAAAATTCGTTAGTAATGCATATTCTCTCACGTCGACCGCTTCTAAAAGTTCCAGGCTCTAAAGAAGGCGAAACCGTCGAAACGTCAGTTATTGTATCCTAATAAGTTCTATAATAACAACCTCGTGTCTGCTTATTGAAGAAAAACATCAAACTATGCACGATAGTCCATCACTTCTGTTTTATAACTTGATAAAGACAGAGTGCATAAAAGAAGACGTATGTTTTCCCAGTAAACTTTCCAGAGCTTATGTCCTTTGCGCAATGGCATCCTTTCGTTCACCTCCAGTGCTCCGTTCATCTGGCTGTTCCTCCATTCACTTCACCTTTACCGTATGCTCTCCGAAGGGAGCGCAAATTCAAGGTAAGAATTTGAACGCTCTCATTGAACTTTTTTAACTGAAAAATGACTATTTCTTGCTGTTCTTTGAAATGTTCCGACTATTTGAAAAACTTGGAACATGGGCCAGATTAGAAAGGAAAAACGAAGGCCTGCGGTGCAATGTGATACGTGAGCCCGCAGAAGGGTTAATCGAAAAAGATAAAGGTTGATTAATCATTGCGGTTGCACTTCACGTAGTGCCCTCTCTTAAAAAAGAGAAAAAACACGTGTTAAATAAAAAGGTTAAACCTTGCTCCATTGCTCCAAAAGCATCTAGTTCCTTTAGAATCGTTTATTGTTTGGTTACTCGGAACTTTCATATGTTTTATGCGCCTAAACTTTACAAACAAATAGTTTTATATAAGCAGAACCCAGTATAACCAGAACTACATGCATGATTTGGTTCGTTCCTATTCCGAAAGCAAAATACTGTTATGCAAGCATGTTTCCTCAGCCCTTGAGTCGTCACGCCCCCTTTAAACTCACTGCTATCGGAAGCGGAAAAATTTGAAAACTGTAGCCGCCAAGAAGGACAGAAAATTCGAATTCGTCTTCGAAAAATCAGCAAAAATGGCAAAAGTTTTTCTGCCTGAGAGTTCTAGCAGAAGATGAGATAGGTCTTTGTGGCCAATACGGGTTTGAGTTATTTCGCAGTAAATAATGCAGTAAAGCGTCTCGATGATCGTGATGCTTCACCGGGACTGTTGTCTTACTTTTGTTGAAGCAAAATTCTTTATCTCGTTTTCGAATCTTATTTTGAGCTGAGTGTAATGCCGATATTATTCTTTTCGGTTCTTACTTTCCGTACTTTGTTCAGAAACATAACGATTGAAGATGATTGAAAAGTGGACTGTAATGAATACATTGTCCTCTTCTTGTTTTATGCCTCTGAAGTCAGCCATTCAATCATGCAATCAGCGCCCCTTTTCTCGTTACACTGTCATTCACACTGCACCGATTTTACCTCTCTCCTTTTCTTGATTTTCCCTCACCTAAGCAATGTTTTCACCGCTGCTATGCTGCTATCAACAATCACCCGTCAATGGATATGATCTGGAGAACACAAATTTGCATTGAACCCTGTTAAGTTGAAGCTGCGGCTTGAATCACAATATTTGAGTTTTTATTTACTGCCTATTCATCCCCTTTGCTCTCCATGTCATTTCTGTTGACGAGTGATTGCTGATTGCATTTATACAGTAAGAGCAAGGGCGAGAAGGGAACAAAACAGGTGCCTCGGTCGGTGTGGTGGATAGCACCTGAGACCCCAGTAAGCGTAATCGCGTGCTCGAAGCCCATCTGAGGTTCCAACTTTTGCTGATATCTCAACATCCTTGTTATTGTACTTCCATCATAAACGGCCTTGAAAAGAGATTAGGCAGTTAATGAAATGTGCGAACATTTCTTTGTAGTTTGATAGTGTCCTCCGCGGATGAGTTTGAATTCAAAGTGGCAAATCATGCTGGTTTACAAGCTGGACATACTTCCTTCTTTTTGCTTAAGGTACAATAATAAGCTAGCTTAAACGGCATTGTTTTTCATTCATGATATTTTTCTCATGCCGCTACTCAACGAATGAATGTGCCATCCTGAGAAAGGCCAGTTGTCGCGTTCACAGAAAACGTTTTTGTTCTTTCTGGGCTTCAGATTATTTTTCTAGCGGAACGCTGTGTTTCTTGCTCGGAGTGGTGCTTCCGGGAATTCTGTCCTGTGCGACGTTCCTCTTCGGTTTCCACTGTGCATTTGATCCCCAACAGTGGCTATTCTGGATAACTGTCACACCGATTGCCCTTATGCTACTGGTAAGAAAAGTAGTAGTTCTTTCTTTTTCATCCGCCTTTCGGTATGCTCTTCATATTTGAGAAGTACTTTTTTCTTGCCTTCAGTTTCTTTTTTCATGAGGATGGCTGATTTGTTACCGTTCAACAGAGCTAACGAAGTAGACTATCTGCTTCACGTGCGCAATTTCACAAAAGCTCAATGGTTGTAATATGAGGCATATTATAGAAGTCTCATACGTTTTCTGTTACGCTCTCAATCAGTTCTTTCGAACTCTTACAAAAGACCAATCCAATTTGCAAGCAACAGAACATTGATTTACACTGGTGACTCAACATTCAAACTCTACTAATGGTTCCGTGCTTTCACTCAGCACTTCAGCCTATCTGAAACTGTGGTGCCTTTCCATACTGAGCAGCGCCATTGAGTGCACTTCTTTAGTTTTTTTTTTTACATTTTACTCGGCTAACTCGTCTAAGACAGCGAATGAAATATTTTGTGTTCCTAGCGAGCGCATCTCTTTTTTGCTTGTGATTTGTTAGTCCTTCTTAAGCATTCCCGTGTATTCGCCTGCTCCCATCATTCTCCCAGCGTGCACTGACAGTTTTTTCTAGCTGACCTTCTACACCTCGGCCACGACGCTGTTGGTGTCGGCGAGTAAGCAGTTCGACGTCGTGGCGATCAAGTTCCATTTACGACGCGCTCTTTGCCAGCATGTACTTCTCGTATGTCCAACGGCTTCCATTCTTATTCTTCAACCTCGTCTACTTCTCCCTCTGTTTTTTGTCAGTGTAAATCTTTTTTCAGTGTTCTCTGACGTTACTGCACACCACGGCTGTTCTCTTCACTTCACTCTATAGCGCTTCCAATCCTCTAAAGGTTACAAATTACGATTTTAGTGATTCCTTTTGAATTTTGGCCATTCTTGAATACTTTATTTCTACCCAATTTTTCAGCTTTTTTAGTTCCGGTTTTAAAAGTATTCACCTTAAAACCATGAAAAACTTCTTTACTTTCACTGCGAAAAGCATAACATTTTATATGTTATCATTAAACGAGCAGTGGATATTCCATTCATGGAAATCCTTCCGGAAACTAAATTTCCTTCTTTACGATAAGTGTGGTCATTTTGATGTTATCAATATCACTGAAACGTTAACCTTCACCATGGTCGCGCAATGTTTTGTTGTTTCCAGGAGATCATCTGTAACATCACGCTACTCGTCGCCTGCATATACATTGTGATTTGGAGTGCATATCCCGGAGGAAGGGTATGTCTCTCCTACTTAGTGTAGATGCGAATATCATACGAAGGGTGGGATGAAATTTGGATGGTAACATATAATCGAATATTAGTACTCTTCTTCTGTGAAATTTCGCGATATTAATGCTGCAGAAGCTGCTTATTGAACTTGTTAAGAAATGTGGTCCGGAAAGAAAGTTACAGCTCTAGTTTTTATAAGCTAGTGGATTTTTTCTAATTGTATATGATGCTTATAAGAGCACTTCACAACAAGTCAATCAGTCAGAATTCCAAGGCACAGTTTGCACTACAAGCTGCGAACCGACCTCCTTGTCTCAAAATGTCGTTTATGGTGTCGTATGTCATAAGACCGAAATAAACCACCAAACGTTATTTTTGTTGAGCTCTGGTCATACTTTCGTCTATCAAGTGCATTATTAGATTATTAAGCTAACACGCGATTATTTAAGTTTTGTCGACCTAACGTTTCGATGTCCTCATTTTTAAATCCGCCATAATCAGCATCGGTAGTCCATAGTCATTCGTCCTCCCTACGAGAGTATTCATAGCCTTATTGAGTCGAATCTCCTTCATTGGTTCATCGCTTTAGCAAACCTCAGCAGGATTGAGACCCTTCTAGCCTTTTTATATAAGATGTTCGTTGATCTACTGCCATCCATTTGTACCTGTTTTCATTGCGCTAATGCATCCCATCGCAGTTGGCCATGGGCTTCGCCGAAAAATATTGAACAGAACAGGCTTGGCTGGTATAAAAAATCAGAATTTCATCGAGATAACGCAAAAGACCTTATATCCTTTAGGAAATGAGCTGCAGATCTTAATAATTTTTGTTATCACTTTTAAAGGTCACTGAGAGAGGTTGGTTCAAAGTTGGTAGCAGCGGTTATTTTCGTACTGTATGAGTGGAAGTCAGCTCACATCGCTCGTGATTTATTAAATAAACTACTTTTCATTGCACGTTTTACCTGATGCTCTCCCTGCGAATGCAGTTGGAATATTTTCAGTGACGTTTGCTTAACTTCATAGAATATGGAACATAGTTCCCAGGATCGATTTTCTATTAACCTCGGCATTGGAATATGAATGCACCGTTTGTTCAGCAATCGCGAGGTTTTTAAACAGCATACATTTACTTCCATAGAGAAACACAATACAATACAACACCAGCTGACGTTTCGGCAGTATCGCCTTCTTCAGAGCCTGGAAGGGTACACTGACATACAATCTACTAGGCCAAACGCTTCAATAACACCTACAAAAAGACGAAAAACTCTATGGTAATTACATGATCAACAACATCCCGAAAAAACTCACCGCTTTTTGCGTGACTCCCAATGCGGAAGTTTAGAACAACTGATTATAGTCGCATATGGTTGATGACTGCACCATCCCACACCAGAAATTGATGTCGACATACGGGATCAGGTCGCGTATGACCTCCGGGCATTCATCCCTGCTATTCATTATAGGATTTTTGGCATTTATCCAAAAGCCTCAAGAAGTTTTCGTGCAGGTATTTTAGTCTCCTGTGTAAGGATATTGACTTTTACTTCAAAATCGTCTCTGCTATGCTTTTGTTTATTTTAAAAAACCCTATCAAGCAGCGGTTACTTGACAAGGTGGTACCGAAAGCCAAGTAACAAGAACATCCTCGTTCATTTCTTTTCTTCGCTCCCTTTACACACAAAGAGGGCGATTGTAAGAAACATGTTTTGAACAGCCACCTCTGTGTGCACTACTAGGGAACTAAAGGAAGAGTCACGCGCCTGGCTCGGCAAATAGCCATCTCCAATGGCTACGAAATAGTAACTCCACGAAATAAGTTCAGAAGGAGAGCGACGCGCCCACGCGAAACACTTGGCCAAAAGAAAGTCCCGTTTATGTGGCCTTTTATAAGCGATGAAGTAAGCGTAGCTATAAAACGATGCTTAAGGAGGGCAGGTCTAGAGGAGTCGGTAGCGATGGTTGAAATACCACCGGCTACTCTACGTCGTCACTTAGTTCGTAACCGCCTGCATGACCGTCTGTGTGAAACAACAAATTGCGTAATTTGTCCTTATGCCAGGAACGGTGATTGCATGAGTTCAGGTACGATATACCTGATCTCTTGTAATAACTGCGGAGATGAATATATTGGTGAAACGGGCAGACCTTTGTGTATCCGTATAAAAGAACACTTAGATGGCAAACGAAAGCTAAGACAAAGTACCCCACTAGGCACGCATAGAATACAAAAGCATAGCGGAGACGATTTTGAAGTAAAAGTCAATATCCTTGCACGGGAGACTAAAACACCAGCGCGAAAACTCCTAGAGGCTTTTTGGATCAATGCCAAAAACCCTACAATGAATAGCAGGGACGAATGCCCGGAGGTTATACGCGACCTGATCCCGTATGTTCGCATCGATTTTTGATGTGGGATGGTGCAGTCGTCAACCACATGCGACTATAATCAGCTGTTCTAAACTTCCTCATTGGAAGTTACGAAAAAGCGGTGGGTTTTTCGAGAAGTTGTTGATTATGTAATTACCATAGGGGTTTTCGTCTTTTTGTAAATGTTATTGAAGCGTTTGGCCTAGTAGATTGTATGTCAGTGTACCTTTGCAGGCTCTGAAAAAGGCGGCAGTGTTGTATTGCACTATATTTTTCTATGGAAGTAAATGTATGCTGTTTAAAAACCTCGCGATTGCTGAACAAGAAAACGACGCATGGGACATAGTTTTATCTTCCCTGGCAATTTTTTCGTCTATATTTCTTCAGGGAAGTGGTTTAGAGAAAAAGTCCTTTCTTCATCGTATCCCTGTTTTTTCTTAATCTATTCACGATTGTACGCATGGATGTCGATGCGTACAGTGCGAGGCTGGTGGCCGCTTTCCGCTTTCAATTAACATATCTTAGCTCACGAAGTTGGAACATATGGATCTGGTTCTTTCCGTTTTTTTAACATTGGGGCTCGTATTTCGAACACCAAAGCAGTTGATCAAATGGGATTCCATCCAGCAGGGTACGACAGTGTTCCTCAATGTATCGTTGGCGTTCGCAGTAGCCTCGACCGTGTCGCAAATTGGCGAGAATTCTAATCCTAACAGAGTCTAAAATTGAGACCAAATCGTATCAAATTGTCCACATTTCAATACAGGAAAGTTTATTCTGTAGATTCGTTAAGTTCTCAACTTTTAAAGTGGTTTAGCGATAAAGAAATTATGGTCTGTCGGAAAACTAGCTCCAACCATTAAATGTTAGCGTTTTTCGTAGCTGAGATTCAACTTGGCTAGCATGGTTTCAATGGAAATTTTGACCATGTTTGGTAATATATGACTGAGTTGCAAAATCTTTATTTTATATTTTTCAGTGATTAATCAGAGTCATTAAGGAATTTTCTAACACCACCACTACCATGTGGCTTGACACTTCGCAGAAGAGTGGAATTGCCGAGTCGGTGGCGCTTCGCTGTGAAAGCCCGCTTCTTCCAGGTTTGTAGAGCATAAAATCCTATGTTCCTGTTTATAATATCGACTGAAAAATTTACTACGTGAGTTTTTAGTACGACTAGTATTATCTAGCAAATCCCTGAGAAGCCTTATCACTTGTCAGCGATTACTGTTTCTTGAATCCAGTTTGTCTTGCGTTCTAAACTAGTTGTCTTGACGCTGCCTATAACACGCATGAAAAGTAGTCCTGAAGATGCCTCTCACTTTTCCGTGAAGGGTGTTTAGGCCGCAAAAGAATACCTTTTGAATAATTCGTTCTACTTTTGTTTAAAAAACACGAGGTGTTATTTTATTTCTTTGTTCACGAATAAGCTGACGTTTCTGCGCATTTCACCTTTCTCAGAACCTGGAAAGGTCAAGTTGACTGCAATCTACACGGCCAAACACCTCCATAACCGAACAGAGAAAACGCTAAACCAAGATTCCAACCACATTGAACACAGAGTATTTGCGCACTCACCGCTTTCTATGAGCCTTCCACTAAATATGTCACGTGGAGACAAACCACACGGAGTCCACATGGAAGCGTAATGTACCTAACTCATCAAAATAACAAGAAGGCTTATATACTGTCCAATATCACGCGTGATAATGAGGCATTCCTCCCTGCGGTTCATTTTCGAATTCTTGGAATTAATCCAGAATGCCTCGAGAGTTTTGCGCGCTTGTGTTCTCGATTCCAGCGCGAGCATCGTAACCCCTACTTCAAAATCTCCGTTATATCTCTGCGTCCTATGCGTGCCTAGTGGAGTATTTGGTTTATGTTTGCTGACTAGGTGTTCTCTTACACGGACGCAGATTGGTCTACCCATTTCGCCAACGTATTCTTCCCCGCACGCTTTACAAGAGTTCAGATAGACTGTACCCGAACTCATGCATTCACCGTCTCTACTATTGAGGCAAATTATGCAATTTTGCGTTGCACATAGACGGTCGTATAAACGGTTACGAACTAGCTGGCGTCTTAGATTTCTCGGTGGCACTTCAATTATCGTTACCAAATTCCCTAGACCGGCTCTTCTTAAGCAGCGTTTTATAGCTGCACTTACATCATTTGAGATGAAGGGTAGGATAAACGGGACCTTTTTATCGCTAGAGTTATTGATGGGGGGCCTGTGGTTTCCTCTACACCTATCCCGAGCTACAGTTTCTTAACCATAAAAATGACTATTTGCCGCGGCAAGTTCCGGGACTCCTCTCTCTGCTCCCTTCCTGTGCACACGCTGGTAGCTATTCGAAACATGTTTCTCACAAGTGTCCTTTTCGTGTGAGAGGGCTAAGACGAGAGGTAATGAACCAGGATGTTTTTACTACTTGGGTTTCGATACCATTTCGTAATGTAGCCGTTTTCTGATAGGTTAATTTTCACGTTCAGAAATGTGAGCCAGTTTCCTTTTAGTTTCTCTCTGATGAATTTAATATACGCTGGCTGCCATTCAACAACTCGGGACATTTGTCCATTTCCTCTTGTGTTGAGCAAACGACAAAACAGTCAACTATATATCTACAGTAGAGTAACGGCCCGAGATCGGTCACTGGTGCTTCCACCTTAGACATAAACGCAATGGCAAGACTTGGTGCCAGTCGTTGTCCCATTGCCAACTCTTATTCTTATTCTTATAGTTCTTATTTGAGCGTAGTACTTTCTGCACCATCTGAAAATTCGGCAGCTCAAGCATTTTTTAAGAGTGCTATCAACTGGGGGCCTTGCCATTTTGAACCATTTGTAGTTCAATTTTCGGTATTGACTGTTAAATCCCTTCTCAGACGACGGACGATGAAGGGAAACATCTTCAAGGTGCTTTACCGTTATCTCAACATCTAAATGATGGTGAATTACAAGGAACTCTCCACCCTTATCACTAACCGATAGTCTTATGTTTTTCGATCTTGCCAGCTCTCGTACCTCCCGCATACCACGTTTTTGCATTTCAGTCAGGTTGGAGCAGTACCTCTTGGCGCGATTGTGATTAAGGATGGTGATGAAGAAATACCTCCTGAGTTGAAAAAATGTTCCTATTACATATTTTAGAACCAGTGAATGAAACTTGGTTGCCAGAGGCAATTCCTGCTGATCCGTACCTGACATCAACTCCGATTCGCGATCACGATCGAGATCGAGAGAACCCCGTAGCCAACGCCATTCTATCTCCTGCCGATAAAATTCTCAGCGACGGCCTTGGCCATGTTTATGGTGAGGATTTATGCGATTATTTATTGCCGATTTCGTTCTTGTAAACATATGCGAAGTCTGGATGGTATGACTTGATGTTGCTTCCGACGTAATTAAGCGCTTGGAATGCGATTTTGCAATGCTCGATCTACGATGTTTCTTATACAAATTGTAGAGTAGTCAATTTCGAGCAAAACTAAATGATTCCTGGGGAATCTCCGTAGGCTTATTTCTATTCCATGTGATGGAAATTTTGCGACCTCAATAGGCTTGATTGGTTCATATGAGCTGCCCTCAACATGATGTCGTATAACTTGTATAGATTGTTGGGAAGTGTCTTTTGAGTAGCCGATACGGTTGAAATTATCGGGCGATTGCTGTCTTCAACTCATATTAGCATAAAGTACGTGTATATTGTTAAGAAAGCCAACGGTCTTTTCGAGGGTTTAATGTAGCTTTTAGGAAGTATAGGAACGATAACAAGATTTCGAACGGACAAGGACGATGCCGATGATGCCTATTACACTTACACTACTTCGAGAAGATACAAGCAGACGACATTCAATAAGTCCTGAGCTTGCTCTACATCACGTTTCCATTGAAATTGTAGCTATTGTCCTTGTTCCCACATGACCAGACCGCAAATGGTAATCCGTTCTCGAGTTGCTCGAAAGGTGAACAAGCGAGAAGAGGTTGAATCGTTGTATGATCTCTGAGTATGCTCGGATGGTCGGCGAGCGAGATCCGCTGTGTTCTCGCTTGTTGGCCGCCTTAGTCAACTGCTTTATCTATCCGATTCAATGTTTCATTGTAATGTTGCCACATTTCCACTCAGAATCTGCGTGTTCTTAACTTTCCAGATCTCATATCCTTTTCCAGCTCAGATTTCCCGCGTTAAAATCCCATCACTCACAGTCATAAATAATTTCCAATCACGTTGAATATTGCTTTAATATGTGCGGGATGTAGGACTGCCGATTTATTCTTCCTTTATAGCATAAATATTTTACGCAAGTCTAGAAGGGATGCAATTGAACAGTTTCCTGGGTTTAGTAATTTTACAGAATTTCATTGGAATTGTATGAAGCGGGGAAACGAACCCAATGTGGATGGTGTATTGCCACTTAATGCGTCGATTTTCTAAAATTCTTAGGACTCGCAGTGTACAGTGGGAACAACGTGTGAAAATCCACTAAAACGAAACAATTCCATAATGGAAGGCATAATGAGATCAACAGCTTTCGCAAAGAAGGTGGAATTTCCCGAATGTAATGGAGATGGAGCGTTGTCCTTAAATTCATCTTTATATTCATAGGGTGGCGCAGTGGTCGGTGGTGCCTTGCAACACACACGTGGAATCGATCCCCGCTCCCATGGCCCCTCAAGCCTTCCATCCCTCTCCGGGGTCGGTGAATTGGTACCAGACTTGTCTTGGGAGGATAGCAAAACTGGCTCAATGAATCGGTGGGCCACCGCAAGTCATTGTAAAGGCCTGATATGCATTCAATCACTTCCAATCGATGCTTAATGAAGTCGAATTCATATTCCATCACTCAGCCATTAATTAAGGCTGAGAGCTCTATCCTTTATTTATTTTATACATCAACAGAAGTGCTTTTGGGTCGGATGCACTAACAGTTGTAATTGAGACACATATACGTTCACTAGGAAGTCGACAGACAAGTAGTCATTGCGCATCCCGCGCTTTCACTGTCTTCACATTGAGATCTTCTGAACGAGAACTAGGGCTTTCTGTCATCGAATCCTAATCTGCCGTCAATTATCTAGCGTCTTCAAGCTTCCGTCACCTTTATTTATTCGTTTAAATGAATTCTTTGGAAAGTGTGTTTGTACGCTTTCCTTAACAGGTGTCTATATGTTCACTAATCGAAATTTTGTGAAGTCTAAGTGCCGTAGAAACATGTACGTAGTAAAATCAAACTAAAGGCTCTTTCGAACATGTAAAACACTAAAAGGTTTCCCTAGAAGGTACAAAAATGAGCCAGAAATTTAGTAACATGTTTATCGTGAGGGTTATCGAAAAATCCTTCGAATGATACTTTGTTATCATAGGCGGATGCACTTTGAATAGGAAATACCACTCAGTTTTCCACTGAGAGATTATGTTGTCTTCGGAACGGTGCTTTGTCTTTCATTCCACCATCTGTTTCCATGAACCGAATTATAAATCGATTTATTCACGGTTCTATCCTTTTCGTTCTTCATTGAGCAACTCTTCGTTAACCATTCTGGCAATGCTGACCAGATCTTTGGNGAAACGAAGATTTTACGATTGTTTGCCATCAATGCGAATGCCGCTTTCATCTCGTCGAGGGACTCCGTTGTCCACTGCAGAGCGGTGACAAGTGAAATGATGCTTCCCTGTTGGATTCTTTTGCCATGCCAAAGTCGTTTATTCGCGATGCTGATGCGCTAGCAATTAGCTGATGTTGGCTAACTGGGAATAGCATTTAGCTAGACGCAGTGCGGCTTTACTCTTTGGTCGATGAACGCACGCAGGATGACAGCATTCGTTTCGACGCTGTCAAACGCTTTTTCAAAGTCGGCAAATGTGAAGCTGTATGGCCGTTTTCTTCTAAACCGGATACCGTTTGGATCTATTGTACTCGGCGGAATATACTGTATATTGCTTGGCTAATTTCATGTGCTCCAAGTAAAGTTCATCAATTGCATGAGGAAACAAGGATGAGTTCCAGAGCTTGCTGAGCTTCCAGCGCCTATGTGACAAGAAGATTTTGAGATCCTTTTAGAGACTGCTTCAATAACAATGATGAGCAACATGAATGTCCGCGAGACCAATCACTGGTTAGTAGTACTGAGCAATAAACCGTCCCTGGATTGCGAGAAGTTCGAATGGTTTATGGGCAGCTCGAATGACGTTTGTTGCGATCTATCTGTCCAAAGCGCTATGCCTATCTTCATATTCCTGATCGAAACTCGGACTTCATAGAGGAATAGACCTAAGTGCAAAATGATCTTAAGACCTAAGTGCTTCTTTCCCATCGGGTGTTACGAAACGTAGAACAAAAAAATTTCCGTTATCAATTCCATATTATGGCGGGAGATAGTAGTAAGTATGTTCGTTTATCGAACAGCCCATAGTGGAGCGGTATATTTGAGTACCTCTGGTAGCAATTCTCTACACTGCTTTTTTTTTGAGGTTTTACACGGTTTTTAAATTTCTTAGCGAAAAACTAACTTATGGTTTTGTTCATCTCTTGCTCGACCTGTCATCCATATGGAGGAGTTTCTGTTCCGAATTTTTTCTTAATATAAGATTTTCCTTTTTGGGCTATAACAACTCTTTTCTGGCTCACTACTTAATATCCTCGCTTGAAGCTGGGGATCGGAAGAGTTCAGAATGAACGACGAGGAAACGGCGGTAAGACAATATCTTCTTTATGTAATTGTGACAGCTTTTGGTGCAGTCGTATGACTTTCTTTTCCAACAGCGATTTCTCTCCTTTTCTTGAACGAAGAATTTCCGCGAACAGGCAACCTTTGAATGGAAGCCCAGTATGTGGCTTTCATTGTCGTTTAGGTCGCATTATCCGAATTTGCACATTCAGCGTTTAGTTTTTACAGGTCTTCCTTTTAAAGTTTCCGACAACACCCTCACAGAAGGAGTTCACGTTGCGATTTATAGTACTTACCCTGATAATGATAGAGAGGGCAATTCGTTTTCACAGGCTGCACAGAATGGTGAAAAGCAGCTGATGAAACTGATGTTCTTCGGCAAGAATGTGATGATGGAAATTGGTTGGTATAGGCGTTCGGATACCGTAAAAAACATGGATACCTCATCAGTGTACGTGAGGACAAATGTGAGAAACATGCATTATGTAGGCATAGAAATTTGGCAGTGGGACCTTTCCTTCAACGAATGAAAAGAGTCCTATTATCATAAAAACGATTTTCATTAAACCTGGGTAGTAATGACCAATCATGTAAAAAATTATTGGAGTCTTGTTACTTAATTGACGTATGTCACTCTTTTTTTTGGTTCAGTTTCACACCAAGTGCACCAAAATCCTTCCTTAGTGGCTGGAAAACGGTGTAAAACTAGTTTGAAGGTTTAAAGAAACTGACTTGACACACCGGCAGTCCACCCAGGTCATGCAAATACGCACTCAGTCACGATGCTTAATGGAATCGAATTTATTATGCATCCACAAAGGATTGATCAGTGCTGAATCCTTCACGTTTTGTTGCAATCTTCCTGCCTTGTAGCGCCTATATAGCGACCACATGGAAAATGATGCCAGGTGAGGTTTTAAGAAAAGCATCAAAAGCAGCTTTTGAGAAAACGATTTCAGTGTTGCAGTTGTATAAAAGAAAGGATTTTTATGATGTATCACTTCCTGTTTTAAACTGGTTCAGCTGACAATATATTCAACCCAAGATTCGATCACCTTTTGACGGTTGTCTCACCTTGGTGGGAAATNGCGACGGTACGGAAGATGATTAATTATTGAGAAACATGAGGCATTTAAAATGTATAAAAATGGAAACTGCTCAATCTAGGCTATCTCACTTAATTAACAGCGGCTTCTACTTGTCACACCGTGTGCTTAGCGGAAACATAGCCCAAGCGGTGAAACGTCTCTCTGCTTCTCAAATGCTGATGATGCCGGTGAATAGTTATCTTAAAGACACAGGAGCGCCCTAACACCTTTACTTCGGGAACCGCGTCTAGCTAATGCCTAAATTGTCGAAACGAAAACTATACCGGATCTGAGGGACAGCGATGTGTTACATCTTCATGGAAACTGTTTCCAACTTCATGTATACAAGGATCGTTCTCGTTGGACCATAACGTTCGTGTCCTCTTCATTACCTCAGACTACATCAATTATAATACGATTTAGTCGCTTTTTTATTTAGCGCCCATTTTTTTTTCTTGGAAAAGTAAGACGGTTTAGAGAAAGGCGAAGCGAATGGTTTACATGGGGTGCTGGTGAACTCGTTAGCTCCTGGAAAAGGTAATAACGTGTTCGACCCCATCGCAGACACTTGCTGTCCGGGGTTTTGCAAATACCTCAGC